CTTTGAAGTGGGCGATCAAGCCTTGGGAGTGGGAGGCGTTTTCAGGGAGAATCAGAACAGGTAGGCATGAAAGGACATGGGGCAGCCTCTTCATGCTGAGCTAATCTAGGATGATATAATTGCCTGGTTCGGCATAGCTGCTCCGATGACATAGTGACAAGAAGATGAAGTGTTTCATGAGGTAATGTCCTCTATAGTTAAATTAGTTGAAAGAACACTGTCACATGTTGTCCTGGATGTTTCACAGTAGATATGAAGATTCCTGGAATAAAAGAAACCTGTTCAATCCATTATTTTCAAATACAGAACTTTATCATGGATCTTTAAACAATGGCATCAGTTGAGGAATAGCTTATGGGATGTGCTTTCCGTGCAGCAAACATTAGGACAACCGGGGCCAAGAAATTCTGGAAGCAGTAACAGGTCATCACTTGTCACATCTGCTGCCGTTTTATCCTGGTGAGGTTCTCAGTGTCTTCTTTCATGACTGCTTCTCCCCACCTGTCTGCTAAATATGTATATGCTTCAGATGGGATGGGAAAGGGCAAAGGGAGGTCTGTCACACACGGATCATAGTTCCAGGCACACTGTGGGAGCCATCATGACACAGGTTGGACAAAACTGCGCACAACCAAGACTCTGACTTTACTCAGGGAAAGGTGCCCCTTCCTTTCTCAAGGGATAGCAGAGGTGTAAGCCTGGAAGCTGTCGCCTGACGTAGATGTCACCTAGTGAGGAAACTGGTCAGGAAGAATCAGTTAATATGCCAAAAGGGGAAGATATGAGGGGTACCTAGTTGGTGCCCAATCAATTATGATAATAAAATGGAAATAAATATTAACAAAATGCAAGTACCAACATATTAATAGTATAAATATGTAATTGTATAATCATAGTAGCTGCACGTAATTCAATCATATTTATATAATTTTACAATATACACTTATATTTATATGACTGATACGCATTTATATATTTATATGTTATAATTATGTATTTACATAATTGTAGCTTGTTGAGATTAATATACACTACAGATAATATGTATTATAATTAGTATATAATTATGTACTTATTGTAGGACTATAATACAGATGATTATACAAGTACAACTACATAAGTATATAAAAATGTATAGTTATAATTTAACATGACATTTAGTCTAACATATAGTAGTATATGGATAGAAAATAAGCACAATTTTACATAATTATATATAATATATAGTTACATGTAAAGTATACAAATTTTATAAGTATAAATATACAATTATAATTAGCACGTTCATATATAATATATATTAACCTCCTTAGCAAGTCCTAATCATTTTATCTTATTTATAAATGCAAAATATAGAATATAAAAATATGTAACTGTAAATATGGTTATAGATAATTATTACATTTATGATCACATCAGAGTCCAACGCTTCCAGTCATCAGTGAGGCTCAGTCACACCCAGATTTTTCTGTCTTGGTATCTCAAGGCTTAGCAAATATATCCTTTGCTTACCTTTGTTCAATTTGTCACCAGAAGACTGCTGAGCCTGGGTGGCTTCTACAGAGACCTGATTGTCCATTGAGCTGCTCACATGTGGAGCTGGTCTTTGAGAAGACTCCTGATTCTAGAGAGGGTTTTTTAATTCATTAAAATTTGCAAAAGGTCTGAAACCAGGAGCTCAGGTCAGGCCTCTTCTGAGAATTGTCTGTTCTTTAGGTGGGGACCTGAGACTGCATTCTTCTCCTTGAAGTGCCTCATTTCAGGTCTCTCGACACTGAGCTCACTTTGTTCCTCTCCATTCCGGCTCCCTGTCTGTGTCTCACTTCTCTATCCTGAAAATCTTTGAGGTAGCTGTTTGGTTGGTGAGGGAGAAGAAGCAGCACGGCTACTTTTTGTCTTTTCCTCTATCTGCACTGCCTTCTGCTTTTTCTTCCTGCTCCTCCTCTGCCACGCATTCAGTCTTCAGTGACTGAACGGAGCTTCATGGAGCCAGCAGCCCCTCCTCACATCAGTTTGTAGTTAACAGGGATCTGAGGCAGATGTGAAAGTGGAATGCTTCAGACCCAGAGTGTAGTGAGGCTTTGAGGCAAGCTGCAAAGTTTTTCCAGGGCTAGGAAGGTACCAACTTTATCTGCTCATGCTCAAAGGAGCTCTTGGGTTTTTCTTGATGCCTGTCCCATGTATAGTGGTGTGTACCAGATTTGGCCATCAAAAAGCATTTTTGGTCCTAGGTCAAAAATTTGGCCATCAAAAAGCATTTTTGGTCTGAGGTCAGGCAAACAGCTCACTTTCACTACCTGCCTTAGTTCTGCAAATGTTTGTCTTGGAAATTGTCCAGTATCCTGCTTACCCCACCTTTCATGTGGGACACTTAAAAATAATGTAGGGCTGGCTTCAGGGTGCAGAGCATGCTAAGGTCACATTCCATTGGAAGGTCAAGCAGGGATTCTCTTGAGCCTGCAAAAATAAATAAATAGCTTTGCAAGTCAGAGTGGGACTATCAGTTAGGGATGAGATTTCTGTGGCCTAAGATGAGTGTCTTAGTTACTTTTCTCCTTGCTGAGATAATATATCTGACACCCAAGGTTAAAGGAGGAAAAGTTTATTTAACTCACAGTTTATAGAAATTTCAGTCCATGAATGGCTGGCTTTAAGAAAGGGTGGCATATGGCAGAGAGGCAAGTGCTCACAGTGGCTGAAGACAGCAAAAGCAACAAGAGAGGGAAGAGGGAGAGGGCAAAGGAGGGGGCAGGGGAGGGGTATGGGAAGGGAGAAGGATGGAGGAGTCCAGAAGAGGAATAGGGGAGAAGGAGAGGAGTGAGGAAGGAAGAGGGGAGGGAAGGAAGAGGGAGGAGGAAAAAGAGAAAGGAGGAGGAAGGAGAGGGGAGGAAGAACGGAGAGGGGAGGAGGAGGAAGAGGGGAAGCAGAGGAAGAGAGGAGGGGGAGGAAGAGGGGAGAAAAGGGGAGGGAAAAGGGAAGGGAGAGGAAGACAGAAGGAGAAGGTGAGGAAAGGGAGAAGAGGGAGGGGAGGAGGAGAGGAAGAGGCAAGCACAAATCTCTTCCTTACTTTTTATACAGGCTACCCACTCTAGGGCATGTGTAGGACTCACACCTTTAGTCCAAGCATTGGTCCATGAATCACTCACAAACTCTAGATTCATCTCTCTCTGAACAGCTCATCCTCATGACTGCATGAGACTTTGGGGGACATCCAAACACAAACCTTAACAGTGAAGGAGGAGAGAAGCAGTTACCACTGCAGCAGCATGGACATAGGACCATTTGCCATGTGCTTTGGGCACATGCTGGGACTCATGCTAGGCAACGGGACTGTAAAAGGCTTAAACTTTAGGCTGGCACTGGTCATGAAGACTTTGGATTTGAGGTTTAATTCATCTAAATGAGTTCTGTCTCCTCCCTGGTTTTTCACATGTGCAAAAATGCAGTTATGATCATGGTAAAATGTATCTTTAGATTAAAACTTTGATGCATAATTTAAAAATTTGTTTTTATTAGTTTGTAAGTGTTGGCCATGAACCTATATTCAGGTTAACCAAATATGAAATACTGCATTCAAACCATCCAAATCAGGGCTTTGCTACTGGGGCAAGTGAACCACTAGAGACAAGGGCTATTGTTTGAATGTGTAAGGCTTCTTGTCTTGGTGTGTCAGAGGCCCCCTTCAGTGGTGCTCTGGGCATGTCAGTTTAGTGGTGTGCACGGTTTGAGAGCAAGGGTCAGGAAGGAAGCCACTGTTGTGACTAAGTAGTGAAGGGATATTTTTGAGAGACAAGACAGATACGAAAAGGAAGTGAAAAGCCTACTTGACAGACACTAAGCACATGAGCCTGGATTGTTTGGGGAGGAAGAGAGTGGTGAGAACTATCAAGGGTCTGATAGTGAGCTGCCACCTTGTGGTCCAGGGAAGCTCAAGGATAAGAGTGTGTGTGTGTGTACGCATCAAGGTGAGGTATGGAAAGACTAATTAACATGCCAATCCCTCTCATGCTTTTTGTTGATTCTGTGGGATGCAAAAGAAAAAAATATGATTCTGCCTGTCTTAACATCAGGCAGCAAATATCCTTCCTGGGTATGAATGATGTACAGTCAGGAATAGGTCTTGATCAAGCATTTGGGATAGAAAGATGGGCCTGGGTTTTGGCAGACAGCCAGGAAATGAAGAGAAGTTGATAAAGCTGCTCTTCTAAGAGACAGGGAAATTACCATTTTTACATCCGTTTAGAAGGATGCAGAGAGATGGATGAGAGGGCAGGCAGATGGCAAAAGATTGGGGAGGGTGGCCAAAAGGAGTCAAGCAAGAACACCCATCGTTCCGTGCAGCTGTTTGTCATGTGCAGAGAGACTTCTGTATGATCCCGGTATTTCTAATTTTCTTGAATTTTTCTTCCTAACCTCTGACACTTGGCAGAGGATAGGGCTTAACCTTGACCCTCTGTATACCAGGAGACAGAGGCCATTGTAAGTGCAATGTTCAGAATCTGAAGGAAGCACTCTGGATCTCCATGGGGTTTGGATGCTGAAGACACCGCTGTGAGGTTCAGGGCAAAGGTGGCCCCAAGTGGCATCTGGATATGAGGACAGTTCAGCTTGGAGAGAGAACAGGCTAGGAGAAGGGATAGGCTGTGCTCCATCCCACTTGCCTACAGGCAGTGCTCTGGACTCCTCTGGGTCTCATTGCTTTTCGCAGTTAGTAATAAAATGACCTACTTTGGGGATTAATTAGGTCACATACAGAGCTCCAGCACTTCGGGGTACTCACTAGACACCCCATTTTATTAGGGTTGTCTTTGTTAGTCTCCAGTGAAAATGTTGCCACTCGGGGGGGGGGGCTGTCTTCCAAGCCATCACTGCCATGTACTGCATGTCTCTCTCACCCAATAACAGATTTAAGATAGTGCCCTGGAGAATACTGATGCAAAGCAGTTCTTGGAGTTGTACCTCATCCAACATCTGAACAATAAAAACTCTCAGAAACCATATTTACTGTGAAATTCTAAAATCATATTTATTCACCAATTCACAGAAGTGTCATAATGACCACCAACATGAATCAGTTTGTAGGCATTTACAAGCCAAGGCTGAAAATAAATATCTGTCTGTGTTAAATAGGCATTTAACAAATTACTCAGAAACTGCAAGAATCATAATTGTTAGAAATTTAAAGTTTGTGATTCAAACATAATTAAGATCACAGTCATGGAGAGAAGCCCAACAGATTCCCAGACGGTTCTTATTTTCTTCCTGTATCTTTATGTACATGTAGCCCCTCAGCACCCCTCACACTACATAGGTTTGAATTGGGTATGGCAGCCCCATTCTGCAGAGCCCAGGTTGCCCAGGAAGGGGTAGCAAGGGGAAGGTTCTCTGATCCTCCACAGCTGAGCCACCTTGTCCACTCAGAAGACAAAGTGCTCTTATAAAGGTAGATTTAATTTTCCATGGGTTCATACAGTCTTTCTGAGGAGATATCCCAAAGTCTGCCTTGTATCACACTCATACACATACAATAGTATATTTAGTAAATAAACACATTTTCTAGACTAAAAAGGTCCATTCTCTGAGGCAGCTCAAGGAACTGAGAAGTTACCATGTGTCAGGTCCATGCGGGCCCAGGCCTGGGGAGAAGCCACAGCGGGAGACACTGCAGTGCTGGGCAGGAGCTGCCCAGGAGGAAGCAGTCCCTGGAGGCTGTTCTGTAAAGTGAGGCCACTCTTGTCTCCTGGACCACTGAGACCCCAGCAGGAGAAGTGCATGTCTGTACCCGAGACCTTCCCTACACACTTTGGTTGAGGAGCTTGGTATAATCAGGGTTCCCAGTGGTGGTGACATCTAGAGACAGGAGGTGCGGGGGGGGGGGGGGGGAAGCAGAAAACCTTAGACCTCTTAGACTGGCTGAACCTGGAGCCTTTACATTTAGGTCTAGAATAATGCCCCAAGGTGATTGTTTAACAGCATTTTACCAAGTGTGGAGGAAATGGAAGAGACAGTAGGGAGGAAGCCCCTTCCTTGCAGAAACCACATTGGGTGTAATTTAAATGTGGTCTAAGTGTCACAAACCTGCCAGGAGGAACATCCCATTCCTGTGCACTACTGGAGAGCCAGACCCAGTGCGTGCAGCTGTTGGATACTGGATGGAATCTGAATTCACAAAGACTCTCCTCAGCAAAAGGGGCACATGGCTGCCCTTCTTTTCTGTGACTTGTTCATTTTGAGGTATAGTGATACTGGTCTTCACCAAGTAGTCACAAACTGGACTCTTCCTTTCCAAATGTTTATCAGACTCCTGCTATGTGCTAGGTGTTTTTCTCAGTGCTTTGAGAGCTAAAAGCAAACAATAATAAGAAAGATATATAACGTCCAATCCAGTGCTTCTAAAAAATGTAAAATGTGTTGGAACCATTGACCTCTTTATTCCATATCTTACTTCTATAGTATAGATAGTTATAAGACATATGTACATGTATATGCATATATGTATTTATACATATATTATCAACTGCCCTTAACTTAGTTATCCTAGGCATTTCTGATAGTTTATATTTAATACTCTAATTTCTCTAATTAATGCCTCACCAAATCACTCTGAATATCCTCACTGCAAACATTATAATGTCTATGACAATAACATAACAAACCCAACTCAAATATCTACAGATTTCCTGGAAAACAACCAAATACTACGTACAATTTCTTTCCTGAACTCACCAACTGGATTTCCCCAATCTGTCAGGCCTGTCCAGTTCTGGGCATCATTACACTTTTGTGGAAACCTCTGAGGCCAGGCTGAAAGCAGTCAGGTGGACTGATCCATCATGACTAGCTCAACTGAGATTTGAAATCACTTTCTAACATCCCTGATTTGGGAAGCAATTGGGTGGACTTCTGCTATGGCCATATGACCCGACTTATCCACAATTGCTTTGAAATCTGAATATAGCTTTAAATATAGAGGTGCAGTCTGGCTAGGTGATGGGCTATTTCTGTTGTTGCCACTCTGACCCAATTTTCCCATTCCCCTTCCAACTCTGAGTTACCTTCTTCCTTATCTCTTTTATTACCTTTTGAATGATCTTTGCTGGGTGTTATCTCTAATTGCCTTGCCTGGAAAACTTTGCCTTATTCCTTCTACCTAAAGTGTGGCTTTTCTCAATCCCACATGTCACTGACTCCTTATTAGATGTATAACGGATCCGGGGATTGGGTGAGGGTGGGGGCCAGATCATCGTGTTCCAGATTGTCTTTGGCCTCCAAAGATGCGTGAATACATATTTCCATCTGTGATCCATAGGTACAAACCAGCCCCTCATGCCCAAGTGCCTAAGGAATCCTTTCAAAAAGCAGAGGCTACCTCTGCTACCTTTCCAGCTCTTTCCCACAGAGGCGCTGGAGTCTGTGACTGAGACCTCTGGGTTGCTTCTATACTTCTGAGAATGGACACAACCTCTGGGCTTCTTTCTCTAACAGCATTTTCTGCTGAAGAAAACCCCTCAATATTGGTATATGCATATACGTGTGTGTCCTATTTCTGTTCTCAAATGCTTGTAAAGGGTCCAGGTAACAAAGATGCATTTCAAGATAAAAGCAAACACACATTAAAGCCAGCACGTCTCTGTTGCCTGTGATTTATACACACCGTCTGCATTCGGGTACCTCTCACGTCTTTTGCCCTCTTTTCATTATACTACGGGGAATTGAGCTTCACACTGATGAATCTCCTCTGCAGCAAACCTGATAAAAGGGACTGAAAAGCAGTACTGGGCTGTGCTCATTAACACAGTAAGTTTTTGTCTTCAGTCGAGATGCTGCCCAAGACCCTTAGAGTGGGGAACGAAGCTCAAGGTCCGTGTGTTCTTGCTCCTAGCTTAGAGGCTCCCTCTACTGGCCGTAGCTGGGTAGGGTCACTTTCCAAACAAGCACATTTCTGTCCTTTCATTTGGATAGCAGAAATTTTGTCATTTGTCAACTGCACTTCCTTTCCTTTTCTACATGATTTCATAAAGGATCTTGATGTACATAGATACAGAGAGAGAGAGAGAGAGAGAGACAGACAGACAGACAGACAGAGAGAAAAAGGAAAGGTAAGAGTGGAGGATGAAGTCTTGGTACTGGAATTGAACTCCTGACCTTGTGCTTGTCAGGTAAGCACTTGTGCCACTGAGCCAAACCCCGAGCTCCTGAAGTCTTTTTATTTTTTTGCATTAATGCATCTTAAATTTTCAAACCAAGTCTATTCTTGGAAGTCATATGATCTCTGAGAGCCCATTCAATCCAACATCTGTGGAGGCCATGCTGTAGGCAGGTGCAGTGATTGACACTGAAGGTGCTGCGATAAATTAGTTATTATTTTGCTTTGGAGAAGTGACAAGCAGAGATGGAAAGTGTTGGGAATCCCTGCTAGCCTCCCTCATAGGACTATATTTTTCAGGGTGCCCCTCAGATTCCTGGGAAGGAAAAACTGTGGTTCATTTCATTTAACTCAAAGCTCCAGAGAAGAGAGCAGGAAGAGCTGCTCTAAGAAGGACCCAGGAGATACTCAGCTTGGTAACAGAATGACGTTCTTCCCCCTGTTTCTGAGAGGTAAAGAGTAAATGGCTGGCCATGGCTGGCCATCTTATGATTCTCATCCCTCCATCTTCCCACTACCCACTTGATCTAGCTGGTGTCATGGCTGGATCTGAGCCCCTGACCCTCAGGCTTTAATGTCTCCCCACCCTGCACGACCCAACTCTAGTGCAAGTCTGCCAACAAGGACAGAGCCCAGCCTCCTTCCAGAACTATCTTTTTGTCATGCTGTCCACAGGAGGCTTTTGCAGTGAGTGACTAAGACAAACACACAAAATTGCTTCAAGTCTTGGAAGAGAAAAGTGTCAACAGAGAAGTCACTCGGGGAGGTTGAACTGTAAAGAGAAACTCTTCTATCTGCTCTCTCTCTCTCTCTCTCTCTTCATTCCTTTCAGCAAATTCCAATTTCTTAGAGATGAGTTGTCTTCATTATGATCCCTGTGTTGGTCTTAGGAGGTTGGCCGGCATTTGATCAGAAGACATTTGCACAAAATAGGCTGGAGAAATGGAGGTTTCCCATGAGTTGTTTGTAGGTCACTGAGGAAACTGCTGGATGGCCAGAGGTGTGTCCCGGAGCAGGACAGAGTCTGGGTCTGTGGGAATTTGAGAGCAGATGCCGGTTCTCCTGGACCACATGCCACTCTTTCCCTATCTGTTCTTCCTCTGCATCCTGGATAAGATGGGTGCCACAGTGAAGTGCAAATGACTCATAAAACACCAATGAGTTCTTCCAAGGATTTGTTTGCCTTCTCAGAGTTCAAAGCATAAATTAGTGATCGGCAGCCTGCCAGCATCTGGTAGGTTGGGGATCAAATATTGGTGGAGCCTGGCACTTCTATATAGCCCTTAAAAATGAGAGAGTCTAGACAGATTCACATTGTAGATAAGGCTATAGTTTTGCTTTTGGTTGTTGGTTTTCTACTTTTAGTAACATGAATTATTGTCTTTCCAAGAAAAGCTATCTACTCCCCATCTAATTCAGCATTTCAATCGTGGTACTCTGTCCCAGGTCCCATTACAAATGGACAGTGCTGCAGTAACCTGACAGCATTCTTGAATGATCCTGTCCACTCTCTAGCAGGCTTTCCATGCATCACTAGTACACAAGCGGTGAGCCCAGCAATCCTCCTTGTGACCTAGGGTCATGGCTACAATGTTGTTTCCCCATTCAAATGGCCCTGAAGGGGCCTGCTCAGTTGACAGGAGCTTGGAATGTGGCTTCCCTAGGTGCCAGTGACCTGACTGGAGCATCTCCTGGGCTGTTTCCATCTAGGATAGAAGGGGCACAAGGGTAAGCACTGTCTTTTGCTGAAGGGAGGGGGGTTAGAAGTAAAACCAATGCTCTCTGAACCAGTGCTCCAGGAGTACGAACTGGAGTCAAGCAGGTCCTCGTGGGAGAGTTGGGGAGATGAGGCCTGCTAAGTTACCCCATTACTGCGCTAGTGATTACTCTCTTTTGTCAATAGCAGCTCTGCCTGATGCAGCTTATACCATTCTCACCCACTATATTAATGGTTCTCACTTCAGCAAGCCCCAGAACCTCATTAAAGCAAAGATCACTGTGCTCCACTTCCAGTCTCCGATTCATCAGGTCTGGAGTGTGCTTTGGGAAACTGCTTCTCAGACCACACCTGGAGCATCACAGCTCCGCACTATCTACAGGTCCTCCAAGAGTGAGGCTCCTTTCACCTGTCAGCTCTGATGGTTGCCTCCTATCAGGCAGGTCCAACCTTTAATCTTGGCTGACACTAGCATCCGCGACCTGGATCATCCTTCCTAACTTGCAAGGCCTGCCTGGCTGCTATTCTTATTTAAGAGCGTCCTCTGGCTTAGTTTGACCAACTCTCTCATCAGTCATGTTACCTCTGCCAGGGACTGGCTCCCTTCTACATGTGAAATGACTCAGGCTTGGGTATGAATAAAGGACATTTAGGGAAACATTACCTACTTCCCCAGCACTCTCCTCAGACTGCCTCAGTGAGGAGTATCAGTGCCCTGGAATCACTATGATCAGACAAGTTAGTTCAACTCCTTAACCGCGCACTTTTGTCCCCCAACAGTCCTGACAGCTCAGAGAAGACATCCTCACGGCTCACAAGGCCAGGAGATCCTCATAGGCAGGGTGCTGTGTCATTTGCTCCTCCTCACTTGTTCCTGGCACAGTGCCTGGAACACCCACGGGTGCTCAGTGAGGATTTACCAAATGACATCGAATGAGGCTGCAAACACAGACACCCATCTGTTCACTGACTGAACACAGAACTGTGTGATTGCTTTCCCGAGTGCTGGTGGAGGTAACTTCTGCGTCATTTGTCTTCCTGAGGCCAAGTAAAACTTGCTTCCTATTCTGCAGCCCCTGTAAAGCCAACTCTTCTTTTCTAGTTGTTGCCCAAAGGAAAACTAAACCAAGATCTATGAGACAGGCATGGAATAAATTTATGAATTAAGCAAATCAAGACAGGGAGATGAGGGTGGTGCAGTGGACTTCACAACTTCCATTGCTCATTTCCTTTGCCTTAAGCTAGACAGCAGAAAGTGGTTACATGGAGATTAAATTGTGCCAAGGGCTTTGGCTTGTCAACCCTGATCAACGTCCGATGTAGATGGAGAAGGGCATGCCCTCTGCAGCCTGCCAGTGCACACTGCGGGAGGCTGAGGAATTCCCCGGAGGCTGCACAGTCATTGTATGTGACCATCGTCTACTTTTCACTGCCAAATTCTTTCAAAGAATTAGACCTCCTCTACTTTTTGGTAAAACCTAGTTGGTTAATTTAAATGAGAATAATTAAGAAACAAAGTTCTTTTTCTTCCTCTTGCTGATATTTAGTCAGAGAGCCAAAAAAAACTGCTAATTTTAAAGTGTGCTGGGTTGTGATTTCTGCCGATTGCATTGCAATTGATTTAAACAGTCACAAGTCTCTAGGGTCATTTTTAGATCCAGGGTATGAGCAGAGCTGAGATGTAAATCAGCCTAAGAAAGCGAACACACCTACTTAGACACGCCCCCGTCAGGTGGGAGTTAATATTTGCCTCCATGGAGCTCCTACACAGTAGTCAGTTCCCTGGATCCCAGGCCTTCGACTGTTAGGAAGTCATCTGAGTTTGACAGTTCAAACATAACAAGTGTTTTTGTTTGTTTTGTTTTGTGTTTGTTTCCCCTGGAGCATGACATTCTAAAAGAACTTAATGAAGAACCATGGAGTTTTCCTACTGTTTGTTTTGGAGGCAGACTTCTGAGCCTGCCTCCAAACCAAACTGTTGATGGGAGGACTAAGGTAGCAATTTGTTTTCTTCTAGAAAAGGAAAAAAATTTCCCTGCCATTGATGCTGCTGCCCTCAGATCATGTCTGCTTTTCTAGCTGACTGATACTTTTCATATGGTCTGTGGGCTAAGGAAAGTTTTTATGATTTTGAGTAGTTCCAAATAAAAATCAAAAGAGTAAAAAAAATCATGCCATGAAAATGATATGAATTCATGTTGCCTGCTTTTCCAGTGACCATAAAGTTTTGTCAGCGCATGGATAAATACCATTTCCCTGGAACATTCATTTGTGCATGTGTTGTCTGTGGTTGCTTTCATTGCTACAAGGCAGAACACAATACTTGCAACAGAAGCCTCAGGGCTTTGCAGTGCAGATATTTACTATTTGCAGATAAAGTTTGGTGACCTCTGTCAGACAGGAATGGAGGGCACTATTTTTCAACAGGAGAATCCACATCTACAAGGACCGCCCTTGTTAAATCCAGAGGGCTTTGGTCTATACAATGTAACACAGAATGATTAAGTAAATCCAAGAAGGTGATAGTGGAAAGGGAACCCATGGAATTGCATTTTGTGTCTCATGACTTTGGGCCTAGGCCAGACTTAGAGCATTTGATTAAACCTGTTAGAATATATGGTTTAGTATTTCTTAAGACTGTTCACCAACCAGTTGATTGCTTTACTCCACTGGGGAACTCATTATGTCCCAGTCTTTTGCAATCTCAGTCTCCTTTCTCTCCTTTCCCCTGTCATCTGAGTCGCCTAAGAAATTTCAACCTTGCTTTTTTCTAATTCTGAAAAGTAGATTTGTGATATCACTCACTTAATAAGACAGTAGTGGACTGGCTGGTGGCCAACTCAGTCTGCTGCTCCTCATGGTTCTGAAACTGCATCTGCCTGACTGCTGATGTCTGAATGAGAGGTCAGTCACAAGGTGCCCAGGTCATCTAAGAGTTTTGGTTTGCAAAATAGCAGCATGCACAGACTAGAAAATGCCAGACTTATTAATGATATTTTTCATTTATGGTCAGAATATCAGGTGCAGAGCAAATTATATTACCAACTACTCATCTGGAGGCCTCCTGAAGCTGTCATCTTATTCGTCTATGAATAGGGTACCAAGAACAGGATAAATGCCTGTTGACCTGGCAGTATCTTTCAAGCGCTGCATCTTATAGCCAAAGTAGAGGGAGAGGGCTCTGCTTTTCTGTCATCCCTGTTTCTCTGAGTCCAGTCACCAAAGGCTCCTTCAAATAACACGTCTTTTCTGCCTTAGCCACTTTCACCTGCCACCTCAACCAAATGTATACAGGTTTCCTAGTGCTCTAAACAGTCTATCTAATCATGATTAATGCAGCCTAAGGATATGAGATGTGCCCTCTCCTCCGAATCAAGCTGGAAAGATAGAGTGGAGAAAAAAGTGCACTTAGAAACCCTAGACTTAAATATTTTCAACAAAAACCTAAGGCAAAAAGGATTTAGGCTTAAATATAGAAAATGTTCCTTTTTTTGCAATGATTTTGGTAGAACTCAGGAGTTCCTAAATGCCTGACTGAAGAACGTCTTATTATTGAAATAGTGAGATTGTATAACCTGATCAGTTCTGCAGAATTTCTCCCTATGGGTATGCAGACACCACCTGATAGAAAAGGGGAGAGTAATAGGAGATACGTTTATTTCCTGTTGATGAATATAAAATCTCAAGCTACTTCTATTGCCATTTCAAAGAAGGGAAAAGACCACCAGCTGAGTTGTGAACATGCCCCTCTTCCTTCTGTGACTTTTCCTCTCTCTTCCTCTGCATGCAGCATATAATTTATATGCCTGCCTCTATGACCTTTCTGTGGTAATCAAGTCCTCTGTAGGGAGGACTCTGTAGCTCATTCACCTATATGCCTTTCACACAGCTTTTGGTAGAATGCTTAGCACAAAGTGCTTGGAATGCCTAAGTACATCAGTATGAACATAAGTAGAATCCAAGATCAACAGTGGAGGATGAGAGCCCAGTCTTATTATACTTCTCAACAACTATGAGTAAGTTACTGAACCTCTGAGCCTCAGTTTATACATCACAAAAATGTGCCTAACAACAAAGGCATCAGACATTTCACAGGATTATTGGAAAGGTCAAAGGAAGGAAAGGATGCAAAACACTTCAGGATGGAAAGAGCTGTGCAAGGTAGCTCCTACTGGTCAGAAGGGTGCAAAGGCCTCTTGTGGATCCTGACTGACTGGAGACTGGAATAGAGGACACTGGCTGTGGTTCCCCTACTTATGTTCTTTAATTGGGTGACACAGAGAAGACACTAAGTAAATGCTGAACTTTCTATTGAACATGAAAATGGTATTGACTGGTGACCAGTTCTGTGCCTGTGTCTAATCAATATGCGATCAGTTTGGGAGCATGTGGATAGCTTGTATATTCTGAGGACAAAGAGGCACCCAAGACATTTGAAACAAATGTGTCCTTACAGCCTCAAAGAAGGCTTATTACTGCTTTAATTCTTGCCTGCTATTCTCTCGGCCACAAGGATCACCCACTAGTTGCTATAGCAACAATTCTCTTCATGCAGGGTCCATGTTAGAATGGAGATGGAAAGGATTCCTCATTAAAAAACAAGAAGAACGAAGAAAGAAATTAGGGTTTTGAACATATTTGCCTCTACTCAAAGCATTCTTCCTTTTATGAGAAAAAGAAAGAAGCAACTGCTATTGTTATAAATATCCTTCTATTTTCCTAGCGGTTAGGTTTCCAAGCTTTCATCTTGAACCTGTGGAGTTCATGTATGTTCTAGCACATTGGAGAAGGGTGTGTTTTCTCAAGGTAAAACATTGCAACCCAAGAGATAAAAGGATATGGGGTGTGGTTGTGAGAACCTTGTCAACTTTGAGGCTGCCTCGGTCCCAGGGAGCCCAACCACCCTCACTTGTCTCCTACATCTGCATCCTCTCCTACATCTGCATCCTAGTAGAGGATGACACAGCCTTACTTGTCATCCGTCAGCCCTTCTTCTACTTCTGGTTGTGACTTTGGTGTGGCTGTCACCCCCAGGGCAGTGCCTGTGTGGAATGCTTCCTGTGTCTGCTAGATTTGGGTGGCGAGTGTCCCAGGGAGGTAGCCATAATGGCTCTCAGTGCAGGTGGGCACCTTTGGCTGAGGATAGACTCTGCTAGTGGATAAGGACAAATCCTTGGTTTTGTACTTGCCATATGAATTTATGGGGCCTCAGAAAGAAGCAAAAGGAAAAGCTCTCCAAGCTGGAAAGTATGTGTGTGTCTTTCCCTGTAAACTTAATTCTGCCTCAACAAGGGTTTCCCCTTCAAGTGTCCAGCCCTAAGACCTAAGGCATGAAGTTCTACATCTTTCCCTGTGCAAAGGAACCTACAGAGTGAGCACGGGGCGGACCTGCTGCTGTGAGTAGAGAAATGCACACTGTGAGTTGGAACCCAAGGGCCTCAGGAACACTGAGTCTGGGAAGCTGAGTGACATAAAGATGGGCCTTGTCTTTTACAGAAAAGAGCAAGGTGCTCAGAACTCTGTGGAATGACTCACAAGATGCTGGGTGAACCCAGAGGTGGAGGAGTGGGGGCGATAGGAAAAAGTCCATCCTGAAGTCCCCTCCAATGATGCTGCAGGGAGCTGCCCCTCAGGCAGGTGTGAGGAAGCTGCAGAGGCCTTCCCAGAGCTGTCACAGAGATCAGAGGTGAGTGTGATAGGCTCAGGCAGACACTGGGTTGGGCGGGCTTTACAAAAGGGACACGCGGGCTAGGCAGTGGAACTGCAGGCACTAATAGGGCAGAGTGGAGTCGTCCCACTCCAGCTGGGCTTGCCTGGTGCCGCTCTGCCCGTGTCTGCCTCTGCCCATTCCTGCCTCCTCCTCCTCTTCACTGTTGTCCTCGCTGCTGCTGGAGCTGAGGTCTTCCTCCGCTTCTTCCTCCTCCTCTTCTCCCTCGGTCTCATCTTCCCCATGTCCTGGTGCTACATGTTTCTGGATGTCAGGAAGAGAAAGAAAATACTCATGAGAGGCTGAATGCAGCCCACTTTGGAGCTTGTGTTTTATTAGGCCCTGATGGGATTCCTTTACCTTAATGCTAACTTCCTGGGCCTGGAGACAGAGTCTCTGGAAAGTTCTTGAAGTTAGCAAGTTTCTATGTGGGAGAAGGGTATGACTTAGGACAAAGCTCAAAGACATGAACTCTGGTAAAAAGTCTGTAAATTACGGGGTGGCCATTTAAGCCAGTATTTTTAATCATTTTGGGTTTTTTCAGGCTAAGACTTGTTGCCTGGCATTTCCAGAGCCTAAGCAGAGTTTCTAATCCTCAAATGTTTGCTTCCTAGTAAAAGAATAACATTTAATCTTACTCCTTTTCCAGGCGGGAATGTAATGGGCTTGGGAGCAGATGGCCTGCTAAGCCGAGACTCAGGTGTGCTGTCCCTTGGAAATGTCCCTTTGGAAAAGACAGCTACACAGTGGTATTCTCCATGCCTGCCCTTCAGCCCTGAAACTGTATTCTGCCCTTTCCAGTCCTGTTCTATGTCCTCCCATCTTTTTAGTGTTTCCAGCAAAATCTTATTTCTAGGCTTATGTTTTAAGTTGAGCAGTCAGGACATAAAAGATGTGTCTCTTTGTTTGGCTATACCCCCTCCTTAAAGTGGCTTCTATTCTACCTTTTCCTCCTGCATAACAAACTCAGTATTCAAGGCATCTCTCAGACCAAACTCCCTCGGGGCTGTTTCTTCCCCAAACTGTCTTCTTACTCAAGCCTCCCTAACTACCCATCCTATCAGGTCGATCCCTGTTAGGCTGGCTACTGCCTGGTCCTCAGGCTTTTTTTGATCTCCACACGCAAGCTTCAGGTGTTTAAGGATGGAGATGTTTGTGTCTGCATGGTGGTGAGCTCGGCACTGCACCTACAGCACATAGTTCAGGAAAGTGAGATACCCTGGCATGCTGGCTTTGAAATAAGAGCATGAGACCAGCTGAGGGAGAGCTGGGTACCAGGCTGGAATGATCCTCATTATTTCCCAATGATCAGTTTCCCCATGTTTCCTCCAGTTTGTGTCTGCCATTACTCAGTACCTGTGGGCAAAGGGTATGATACCCATGACTTTCCTTGATAGTCATGCCCAGAGAAGGTGCCTTGCAAATCATACGTGGTTTCTAGGAGCTACTATATAACTGCAAAGATATAAACTTTGGAATTAGACAATTAGTTTGAACATTGGTTGTGTGCATTTGAACACTTCTCTCAGTTGGTTTCTACCTTGGTAAATGAGGATGATAACTCCTGCTTCACAGGTTGTTGATATATGTAGAGTACACTACAGTCTGGCATAGTGGGGGCTTAATAAGTGGCAGATGTTGCTGCTGTATTTTTGTTTTAACCTAAACTGAGCTCTGCAGGCTGAAATGGAGTAAAGCCATCTCATTCATACTGCTAATAAAGAATTCAATACTGAGTTCCTAAGTATTAGTCAGCTCTGAACTATGGAAGAAGCAAGGGATAAACACACATGGCTGCTTGCTTTAAGAAATTTTGTTCATGGGAAGACAGCAATTCACACATTTTTAATCCGAGAACAGTTGGTGGGGAAATACGGTCTGTTCATGTTGAGAGGGATGTGGAAGCTCAGAGACAGGAAGATAGGCAAGGACTAGATGGACTAGGAGGGCCTAAACAGGGCAAGGCTTTAACCCAGGAAGAACTGAGGTGGGTAGAGGGAGAGGCACCCCACCCGAGCCCCAGCCCGCCATGAGGATTTACCTCCATGGGGTTGACGGTGATAGTCAGCGCAGAGTCATCCCAATCCATTTCAGCCTCCTTGGCAGCCTCAGTTTCTTGGATGAAGTGCTGGTGGGCAATCCGAACTCGATACACACCCATGGCCACAACAAACACTAGCATGCACACGGAGATGATGATGACCACTGTGGCAATGCTTGGGACCACTGGAACCGGGAAGGAATCCACGGGACATGGTGAACAGAGGTCTAACTCCTTCTTGTGATAACACATGAACAAAACATGCGTGCAAACGATAAAATCTGCCTTCCCAATTCCCAGTAGGACTCAGGGTCAGCATCTTAGCTGGGCTGAGTTATACTGTCACCCTCTATAAAAAGACTTACTAATTCCTATCCTACAGGTTATTGTGAGTAGTAAATAAAATGATTTATTGAGTTTCTACATAGCATGGAGTGGGTATTCAATATATTCTATCTCTTCTATCTCTGGCTTTTTCTGTCAAATTATAACAGAGATCCCACTGAAAGCCTGATGTTGCAAAGAGTAGTGGGAACAGACACAGGTACCATGACATAAGTATAAGCAGAGGACTTGGTAGTATGGTACACTTGCATGTACATAAGGAGTCTGTGGAAAGCTTCGTACAAGACATGACTGTGTGCTGGCCTGAAAGAACTATCCTAATGTGCTAACTGCACCAATCTTGGTTATTACCTGTCATGGGTAACTTCTTGCTTATTCAACTGACTCCTTGCTAAAGCTATGAGTTCCTTAGATGCATGGCTAATGTCTTCTCTATTGCAGAATTCCCTCAGTTCTGAGCCACTACATACCTCTTTATTTTGGGTCACAATGACCATGCTGGATTCTCAGGCTCCTCCCCTTAGTTGCCTTACCTGAAGTGCGTTGGATGCTACTCCGGGACTCAGGATGATGGACTGACTGGAGGAAGGGAGGTTGCACAATAAGGTGGTTGACGTGCTCCTTGTCTGGGACTCTGACTTCATGTAGCACACTGACCTGGACCGAGTAAAGAGAGATGCGAGGTGAGCCAACGGCAATGGCTCTCTTGAAAGAACAAGTGATAGAGGGCTTCCCTAAGATTGGCAAGTCTCACTCACCTTCACGTTGAACTCATTGCTAGTGTACCGCCCATTGAGCTCTGAACACTTGATTCGGAACTGCCGAGCCTCAAGGGAGCTTGACTGCCAGTTTCGGTAGCGGAGGTGATGCAGCACCTGCTCATAGCGGCTCATGGAGCCCACACCTGTGCCAAGGGATCAGTTGTCATCAGGAGGCAGCAGAGGAGGAAAAGGAAAAGGAGATGTAGGCGTCAGGCTAGGGCTGCTGGGGCTTGGCACTTTGGTGCAGTAAGAATTCAAGTTGTTTATGGATAGAAGCTACATTTCTAAGGAGCCAATTAAATAGATCCTCAGGACTCCTGAACAGACTGGGGGCTCTCTGACCAGAATGTTTGTCTTCAATCTGCCAAACACTACAATATTTTCTCAGTTCAAACATTATAACAGGAGCTTCTACAGATTTTCCCAAGAGTGGGGATGTAGGACAGGTCCCCAAAATGCTGGAGGAACTCTTCAATGTCTAGAAACCCATTTCCTGAAATCAAGGATCTTTGCTGACCTCTGGGGAATTCACAGTGCACCCCTTCAGGGTCATCATACTCAAGGTTCTCTGAACGAGGTCATTCTGAGAGGAGACCCCTTGGTGGGGGGACCTTACCATAGATGGAGTAGCCTGCGGTGGAGTTTGTAGCATCCAAGTGTCGTTGGTGGAGTTCATTGTGGTTGAGTTCCAAACATTCCTGTCTTGGGTCCAAGTCCCCGCCAATCACCAAAATGTCACAAAAATCCAAGTTGTGAAGCATTTCCTCTAAGACTGCTGATCTGGGGGCTGTGGGAAGGCAGATGCACGGGAAACACAGGCATGAAGTGCAGCTCAGGAAACAGCCCTTACTGACCATCTCTCTCCTCTGTACTGCACCAAGTCAAGAGAAGAGGATGTGTAACCCCAAAGGTCATGCCCACGGCTCAGATATCAGGCGCCACTAAGGCTGGGTGGCATGAATTAGTGGGAAGAACATGGATACTCCAGTCAAAAGGTATGGGCTTAACTGAGTGTGGTGGAGCACACTTGTCACCCAGCTCTGTGACAGGCTGAGGCAGGAAGATTGTGAGTTTGAGCCCACCTCAGTGACTTAATGAGACCCTGTCTCAAAACTAAAAAAGAACTGGAGAAGTAGCTCAGTGCAAAGGCCCTGGGTTCGCTCCTCAGTGAAGCTATAAAAGAGGAGAGAAACAAAGAGAGGAGAAAGAAAAGAAGAGAAGAACAGGGTATGAATTTGAATACAACTTTGCCACTGGGAAGCCACAAAAACCTACTCTGCTTCCTAACCTGTGGTTTTGAGAGAACCAAAAGCAGTGCCCCATGCTGCCTATGTGTGACATAAGCAGTAGGTGTCCTCTGGTGGACAGCTAAGTGGCCTTCCACCAAGCACTTGTAGCTTTCTCTGTGCATCTGTGTCCTCCATCAGGCTCTGGAGCAGAAGCACCTGACTAAATCCTTAGTGTCTGACACAGGAGTTAATACGGAGCGGTTATCACTGAACATTGCTCAAATGCAGCTGGGTCGTTAATTAATAATCAATTAAGTCTATGTTATAACCAATAATTAACAACTGATAAATTAATTAGTTACTATGCTCACAGGGAGGCATATTGGCAAGTTGGTCAGTGTCATAGTCTTTATTTGACTTATGACTCCAAATTTTTCAAGGGAATATCTCAGTCTTAGAAAGCTGGGAAGAATTGAGCAATCTAAAATAAAATCTCAAGATGAAGGTTATTGGTATTTGTGTAGTGTGCAAACATACTATTAATGAGCAAGTGTTAAAGACAGCACTACAATTATCTCCATCTCACCGATGGGGAAATGGAAGTTCAGAGGAAGGTGAAGGGTCCAAATTACACAGAAAGTGAGAAGAGGAACTGGGAGAGAAACCACGTTTTCTAACATCAGAGTTTAGAAACTGGTCATCTTTAGGCCTACGATCTTCCTTTGCTCTTGACTATTTACCTTTTTTTGAAAGACTTATGAGCCAAGATTGGTTACACAGTATATTTACTTATTTATAAAGCAGACTGGATATGTCTTTTGCATTCTAGGACATGAAAACAGAAATTTAAAAGGATTTATTAGGAATTAATTATCTTAAATAATTATTTTATTTTGTTTAATTATTTTCAGTGAGCCAAAATATTTTTGCTCTTGTTAGATAGTATTATAATTGATACCTATTATACAGTTAATTTTTAACTGTTTACCAACCTCAGGTGTTTCAAGTGTCATTAGCAAAATCTAGAAACACAATAATATACATTAAATACAAAGTATACCATAAACAATAGTGTAATGTCAGATAGGTTTCATATAGTGTCTGGGGGTTTGGCGGCTTCTTGTTAGGTAGAGTTAAATCACCTTGGCTCCTATCTCCCGATGTAGCTGACAGAGCCAGCACTAGGTAGGGGGATGTGCTGGCTGCTTTTTCCTCTTCATTCTCTTCTGCTTGGACTATGGCATCATTTGTCATCTGCAAGTGTTTTGATTCCACTGTATTGAAGGGGGTACTGAGCCCAGGAATCCAGAAACAGATCAGCCATGGTTGAGCCCTCTGGGAGCCCTGGTCTGGTTTCATAGACAGGTGATCATCACAAAGGGCTGAAAAATGTGTGTTGGAGGGAAACACCAGCAGCCGCAGTGTGCAGAGCACAAGGTCAGCCCAGCCTGGAGTAAGGTGGTGGTAAGCAGGGCCTTCTGGGGTGGCATCTAAGGTAGAAAGGTTTGCCCCAATAAAGGGAGATGGAGAAGAAAGGAAAAGGGATCTCTCAGCCAGAGAGAAGAAAAAGAAAAGTGTGGACTAACACAAAGGCATGAGAGAGAGACAGACAGACAGACAGAGAGAGAGAGAGAGAGAGAGACAGAGAGACAGAAAGAGAGAGAGAGAGAGAGAGAGAGAGAGAGAGAGAGAGAGAGAGAGGAGAGGAAAGAGTCTGTCTTTGCAACTGAGATAACATAAAGAGTGAATCACTGGGGGCAGAAGATGGTGTTGGAGGCAGTCACTGAGGTCCAGTAGCAAATGTCTTTAGCTTGCTTGTTTAAGATACCCTTAATAATAATTATTCCAACAATGATAAGAAGGAACAATTTAAAATACTAATAATAGCTCCCAGGCAACATGCCTATGTGCTCTGTATGCACCTCTCATAAATAGAAGGTGAAATGTGGACCCAGATAATTGCTTTTCTCTGCATTGCCCATATGCTGGTGTCAGACAAAGCAATTCCAGATGCTCTTGGGCTGCAACCAATGGAGGTCAACAGGCCTCACTATTTCTGTCTGATTGTAGCCACAAATGAGAACAGGGTAAGTAGGAAGATCACACAATCTAATGCACCTTGGCATGTAACTAGGAAACCACCCTGCCAGGACAGGTGGTGAAACACCATCAATTTTTATGAGCTCAAGCACCCCTGTTCACTAGGGACCGGTGTGGTTTAAGGCAGTGGGTAATTAGGATTATTATAGAAGCAGATCTTTAGGGACTTAGGCCTGCTGGCACCAGCACATCATTAACAGTGGCTGTTTGAGGGGGTGAAGGAGAGTTGAAAGTGTTCTCTTAAAAGAAGAGCAAAGAACAGTTTCCCAATGGACAATTCCCCCACCCTTCCCCCTTTCTCTGTTTTCCATCCCCTTCCCCTAACATCTCCTGTGGCTTTCAGTGTAACTGCTTCTCCTTGGCCGATGATTCAAATTACTCTTTCTTTAAGCAATCCTTCCAATAATGAAACTGTTAGAAATAACAGCTTGAAAATTTACTGAGAGCTTAGAGTCATACTGCTGAATGAGACCTAACTTTTGCTGTGTGTATATTAAGTGATATTTATATTTTGTTCTCTGTGCACTTTCTAGCTTTTATTTTGAGGATTAAAATAATACATGCTCAATATAGAACATTTTTACAGTTGTAGAAGAGGGTAGAGAAGCAGAAACAGATTGGCGTTGCCCATGCTTCTCGGAGAATATCATTGTAGCGTTAGGCATCGTTCCTTCTTGGCATTTTCTTTTTACGTGGTTAAGCTCATGCTGTATGTATACTATGTAATTACACATCTCACTTTTTTTCACTTTAGGGAAAGATGTCTTCCCCTTTGATGTACACTCATGTGTATACCTCATGATTTGCTAAGCTATCTATTCCTTTCCTGCTGTTCATTTTGGGCATTTCTGCCTTTGTTTTGCTGCTGTGTGTCACTCATTCACAGTGAACAATGCTGTTGCCTTGAGTATGATTTGTGTTGCTGTAGGAAGTTAAGGCACACCTTTCGCACACCCTGCATGCATCTGTACCTGTGGTTTTCATGTCCCCCGTGGCATCAGGTTTGGCAAAGGTGCTCACAATTTTGATATCTGGGAAAAGGATCACTCCTCTGGCACTTTTGAACTGGGCAGCAGGTCTCCAGAAGTGATCTGTGCCCTGCAGGGTGATCTGGGGCTCCATGGCCTGCAGGACCATCACATAAGCATCCACATCAGGGATACTGATGCACACATCTTCCCCAAAGCACCTGGGAAGACAGCTTTAGTCACCGAGCTGGCAAGAAATGGTTAAACCACCTGCAACCCAGCCATAGGCAGGGAGTTGCTACTTCTAGTCCTGGACAAAGCATTTTGACTGCTAGGAGTCTCTGAGGATGCCAACAGAGCTTCAGATTTAAAGCCACATTATCATCCAAACTACTAGTAATGTAGGGATTTAAAAGATTGGCTCCTGGGAGGAATGGAAATTTTGTATGCTAGCAACAAGTAATGTTAAAGCTTTCATTATCCTTTAACAAAGCAATCAATGACAACATTAATTAGACAGCAACTGCCTGTTACGTACATCAGTATTTGGTAAGCAAATTGTTGCTTTACTAGTTGGTTACAGCTATCTGACTAATGAGACCCCAGGGCTAAACTCTCTAGCCATAGTAACACCCTGTGTCATTAATGGGATCACACTAGTGTGACTCCTGCAGGGCAAGGGACACAGTTCCACCAAAGATCCTCTCCTTTTCCCTAATACAAGGCCAAAAAGCATCTGGAGGCTGCAACAATGTGACAATGAAATCAAAGTCTTAGAAATTAGGCAGCCAAGGATCCATGACCTGGCTCTGCTTCTCCTGAACTGGCAGACTATAGACAGGGGGTGCTCAGTTGCTGTGAATCTCAGTCTCTTCATCTATAAAATGGCAAAATAATAATTACTTAATGGTAGTAAGCATTAAGACTCTGGAAAAGAATCTGTCGAGAGCTCACATTATGATTTGAGCTCAGTAAAGGTTAGTTGATCTGATTCTGTCTTCAGAACTCAGCGAGAACCATTTCACTGTCACTGAGGCCAACATTTGGGATGGGAAACTGAGCCAAACAGGCAGTAGGGGAATGCTGGCTGCATCCCTCTGAGATAGGTGTCATCTCACATGCCCTGGGAAGGTCTAGGCAGGTCTTGGGCTGAGCCTCCCCATCCTCTTCTGTGGAGTGGGAAAGATGCAGGAGCTGTGATGATTTACTGCTTTCAGTTTTGTGTTACCTCAACCACACCAACTCCTGTAGTCTCCTCTCCCCTTGAAGCTTTCAGAAGTCTGGACTCAGAGGTGGATGGACCACCTATCACCTTTCTTTACTCTAAAGTAGAGCTGACTCTACTGAGGTGCCTCTTCCCTACGCTTAGGCTTCTGGAAGTGGTAACACCCCTTCCACTGCCCTGTGGAATGTAACTGTCCTTGTGGGCACCTCTTCTGGACTCAGCCATGGTGCAGTCAACGGATTTATCTTTCCCAGCTTGTTCCTCTCTTTCTGAGTTTTCCTGTTCTAGGTACCTAGGGACTCTAGGATCTCTCTGGAGTCTCCTTCCTACCAGTCCTCCCAGGCAAGTACTGTGGCTAAAAAACAGTGTGGTAGGCCAGCAGGTGAGTTATATCAAGACTTTTGCAGTAATCTCACCTTCTTACCTCAACTCTGTTTCCTGGGAACAAGATCAGTGTCCTCCCCTTCTCTAGCTTACCTACAGTATTGAGGAGCTCATTAAAGCTAGGTTGGATAGTTTAATTCAATTTAATAAACATTTGTCAAGCATTTACACTCTTTGTATCAGGTGGCATGCCCTTAAATCAGACCAATTCAAGACCAGCTAACAGTGAAGGTCAGAGTAACTCTGATCCCGTTTTGCAGGGGTGAATTCCTAATGGGCAGCAGTAACCCTGCCCCCTCAGGTGGGCCCTAGACTGAGTGGCGTCCACTCACTGGACTTTGGAGGAGACTCTGAGACGCCGCACGCCTGCTGTTGGGAACTGTCTGGAGTTGATGTAGGAGACCTTCTGTAGGGCATGGTTGATATTCCCAATGTCTTCTCCTTCCATCACCAGGATAGACTGTGAGGGGTTGAAGTGGTACTGGAAGACAAAAGTGAGTATCAGGGGAGAAAATACCGTGGGTCCCCTGGAAGTGCTATCACTCCATGGAAAGGCTGTTAAGACCCCCACAGGCATATCCAGAACATCTGCAAGTGAAGCATTTATATGTACAAACAGTCATTTCTAATCTCTTAAATGGTACTTGTCACTCTGTAGTGGACATCTGGACCCTTCTTATGAGTTTTCCCCATGGACTGTAAGCTCCTTGTAATACTGGCCTGAGTCACAGAATGGAATTCTGAAGGCCCAGTCACAGTGATGTTGATGTCCAGGCCTTAGTAAAGGGTGGTTCAGGCACTGTGTGACCCAGTTGGTCTGAACCAGTAACTTTCAGCCCTTGGATGGTCCATGCCCTGATGTGACATCCTCAGTACTTGGATGCTGGCTCCTTTGGTTGTTTTTGTTTTGGCCTTGAACTGCTCTCTAATTCACCCTTCTGTGTGTTCCACTTCTGGATGCATAATTCATAGTCTTAGCTTTCAGTCTTGGAGCTGATTTTCTCAGTTACTGTCTTTCTGTCTCTCCTAGATCTCATCTATTCCGTGGTCTTTATTCATCTTCTGCTTACCCGAGGGTTCTTTATCTATCCACTGCATGCTGAGTCCCTGGTATTCCACTCTTGGTGAAGGCCAGTGCTCCTCACTGAGGGTGCTCAAGCTGATCCAGATCTTAGCTCCCTCTTATATCTCCCTAGCAGTTAGGTGTCTTTGAATGAACATGAACAACAGTGAGTTGCTGATCCTGACACACTTCCGGACAATAATTATTTGGAATAGTTATCAATCAAGTGGCAAGAACTTATCTGTGGCTTCAGACTATATATTTAATGCTCATGCCATAGATAAGGGAGGTGGATATATTTTAATGTAGGTCCCTGAAAATTATTTACTTTTCTGAACAGATAATATTATGCATAGGATTCAAATATATGTATGTGCTAAGTGAAAAATGCTCTTGCTCTTATTGTCATCCATTCAGTTTCCACAATTCAATCTCATAAGTAATCATTCACAATTACATTAATTTCTTATGGTAAATTGCGTTTTTCTACATAATGTGGTTTTATATAGGAGATTTATATATGCTTGCCCTGTTGTCAACAGGCTTGATCATGTGACTTGTGCTATTTTCCCTGTAGAATATATGCAGAATAATCTAACCTCTTTTCCCTCCACTTCATTAATCTGCAGTGTACTAGGTGGAAGTGACAGCCCACCTCCTGGATGGGGATGAACCCTTAACGCCAAGCCATTGATTTTTCAGAGTCATTACTGCAATAGCTTAACCTGTCTGAAGTTTTTTTTTACAGTGTGACTCTTCTCCAGGGCTGTGTGGCATCTTTGAAAGACCAGAGGCTTTGTGGAATGGCACATTCCAGCTCGAGTACAAACTACAGAGTATGGCTTTGGAACAGTTACATCCTCTTTCTAGACTTCCTTTAAAATAATGGAGAAATTAATATTAACCTATCTGAAGTTTAAATGACATAGTACAGTGGAGCATCCCTTGTCTGGAATGCTTGGGACCAGAGTGGTTCCGATTTAAGATGTTTTGGATTTCAGAATATTTGCATATTTGTACATAATGAGATATCTTGAGGGTGAGACCCAAGTTTAAACATGAAATTCCCTTATGTTTCATATATATCTTACATAAACGGTCTGAAGATAATTTTATATAATATTTTTAATGTACCTATATGTTGACTGTGACCTGTCACATGAAGTCAGGTGTAGAATTTTCCACTGCAATATCATATTGGTGTTCAAAAAGTAATAAAGTTTTGGGTTTCAGAGTCTCTTGTACTTCAGATTTCTAGGTTAAGGATGCCCAGTTTGTGTAATGTTCCCAGGTGTCTGACATAGGATTCCTTTGGTTATAATTCTGAACACTGCAATTTTCACTGAGTTGAGTCTTTGCTTGTGGGGTGGCCCTTCCTTCTCTGTGATCCAGTTCCCCCTTTTCCCACTCAAAGCCCTGCTCAAAGTATTTCTGAGCAATGACTTCTAATCACATGCACCACTCTTTTGCTAGATTTGGGCACACCCAGGCATATGTGTCACCGTTCCCCTCTGGGTTGGTGTCAGCTGCAGATGCCTCAGCCATTTAAGATGTTCAGCCTGGAGCTGTCACATGTTAGTGAGTCATAATTAGTCCTGTGGCGTTTTGCAAGTCATCTGTTTAAGACTTGAGAAGATTCAATGTCATTCTTCTAAAAACACCACTTATGTTCTAAAATGCTTGTCTGATCCTTGTTCCCTTCTCCTCCTCTGTGTCATCCTTCCAGTGGCAGAATCTCATGATCTTCATGCTGTCTGTGTGCATCCTGCAGCAGAGAACCTCAAAGACAGGGTTGACTGCCTTTTCCCAGCACTGTTACAAGGGCTAGCACATGAGAAGACAGGATAAATGGTGAGCCTTTTCGGAACAGGCTGATCTCTGAGTCTGCAGGAGTGATGAATAGGAAAACCATACAGTTTCAGAAGGACTAACAGCATCTCCTGGCAGTCAGCAGAGGGTGTATTCCCACTGTAGCCACTTGGTGAAAGCAAAGGTTAGGAAATGTGTCAGATCTCCAGCTGGTAGCCTGGCCTGGCTGCTACAGCATGCGGTGGGCAGTCATAGGGCACAAAGGTGGGCACTGGCATGCTCTTTAACATAGTTCTTTTGCAGGTTCAGTAAAATACTCTAATGTTGGTTCATCTATTTTTCCAACTGCAGCATCCCTGCTCGGTGTTTGAGTTTGTGATTACACAGAGGACGTGTCTGTACAGGCAGACACAAGGGCAGGAAATGGTAGAAGGCCAAGTGGCTGGAGAAAATAGTAAGGGTGACAGCACTCACTGGCCCATGGGAAGCTGTGTTGTGGTGGAAGTAAGTCAGTGAGGTGCTGGACAATCACTGTAGAATGGTCATCATTTCTAGAACTCAGCTCTTGTCTCTAGTTGCCTAGCTGATTGGGCTGTTAATGGAGTTATTGGACGCCTATTCATTGGGGGTAGGCAATCATGGCTCTTTAGAAGCCTTGGCCCTCCCTTGAGCATCTGCTGTATGCCAGCCCCTTGGGCTGCACTAAGTTGAAAACTAGCAATTTAGAGACTCTGCTGCCACAAAACGACCTGTGATTTGTTAGGAGCCTACTAGGTTCAGCTTTTACACCATACAAGAAGTAAGTGCATTGTATGCATGAAGAATTGGAGAACAAAGGATTAAAATATTCCAGGAATGTCTTGTTCCAGAATTCGTACTGTTTCCTGTTCTTCCACACTGGGAAGATGGCAATGGCAGGGATCGTATGTAAAAATCAGAATAGGTATTCCTGAGGAATGTGGCTATTCTCTAGTATCTTCTATGGATTTAAGACAGTAGTCACCATGGCATTCAAAAATTCAAGACATCTTGGAAAATATTAGAAATAGGAGTGATCTAAAGGAAGAAAAGTCATTCCAAGAAGCTGTTTCAGGCCTATGAGCAGACACAAGCAATTCCTTAATCATAGGAGGGCCTCACTTCTTTAGACAGGCCAGGGAACAGAGATGAGGCCAAGTAACCTGGCAAATAAAATGATGGTCATCACTCAGGACATGAAGGATAAATGTGTGTTGGAAAGAAGATAGTTTTAATAATTTTCAAGAATATCTTATTGTGCTTGCTTCAGCAGCACATATACTAAAAAAGAATATCTTCTAATCTGAGTTGCTAGGGTGAGGGGAAGAGTGTAGATTTATCTTGTGCAAGTCCCTGATTCCCGGTCCCCTTATTTTTGAAACGAGGTCGTAATATTTAATTTGTTTTGAGGAGCAGGGATAATGAACATAAAACAGCCCCCAGTGGGTGCTCTGTAAATTGTGTGTCTTATTAACTTCTCACACAGTGCTCCAGTTCTCACCAGCCATGCCCTAGGGAGAGAAAAGTGACTTGGTTGTGAATAGGTGGTATCCTGAAAAGCCAGATTAGCCTCCCTTGGCCTCCGCATGTCTCCTCTTTTCAGAGGCTATGTAATTACTCCATAGGAATTGCTACACTTCTTAATTTATAATTCTAAATCCACAAGGCTCTTCAGGCCAGCATCTTTGGTTTATTGCTCTGTGGTGCCTGGAACTCTGCAGCTGTGGCCCCATGGGTTGTGCAGAGCAGAGCAGGTGCACTTAGAGGCAGGCGGCAATCCCAGAATCAGTGAAAGAGAGGGGGTTTGGAAAACAATTGTGCATCAATGTTTAGTCAAAACTCTATGAAGACAAGTCCATCAAGACCATCCATTCCAACACAAGCTGGTCTTGTGAGCTTCCTCCAATGACAGGTGATTAAGCCATTGTTGTATGTGTGCATGTGTGCCTGAACCATGTTGAAGAATGATTTGCAAAGTCCCATTGTCTTTTCATGCATTCTCTCCTCCTTCCATCTCCCCACTTTGATCCAGTGTCCAGGGTTAGCTCCATAGACCCTCCATCACCAAGAGCATGTTCCTTTGCTTCAGCCTTCAATGACTCCCAGCTATTGACACTAAATATAAACACCTAAACACAGCTAGAAGGCCCCATAATATGGCCTCTGCCACCTCTCTGGTCCTACTTTCTAACCCTCCTTCATGCAACTTGGGTACTTACAATGCTTGTGGAAGCCCCCAGGCACACACTGTGATATATCTCAGTCCTCCTGACATTGCTCAGGCTCTTGGATTTGCCTGGAATGAGTACTCTCTTTCCCACTCCCTCTGTCTTTTCCAGATTGGAGTCAACCTAATATCGCATATTTTATTCAGGGTTCACCTCCTCCAAGGAGTCTTCCCAGACTGCCATTCACCTGAATCTGGAGCTTTGGAGTGGGATATCCCAGCTTCAAGTTCTGGCTCCCTAACTGGAAGATCTTGCAGGAATTTCCTTTCTCCTTCGGTCCTCAATTCCTGATGTGTAAAACTGGAATGTTGTCAAAGGATGTTCTGGGAGGTAATGTGCAGAGGGAGTTTAGAATGGTGCCTGTCACTTGGAAGCCCTCAATAAACATCAGTGCTCATCATTGCTATAGGAGTCATCAAGACTGACCACAAATGTCCACTTGGGCCACTGAGTTCCCTGAAGACAGCAAACTGGGAAAACTCATTTCTGTATTCTAGAAGCCAGCTCAGAACTAAATATTTGAGTGTCCATGCTGAAGTGACCACAGTATAATAAATAGTATGAGTGCTCAGGACACAACTAACCCCTCCAAGGCTACCCAGAACCAGAGCCTGCAAGCAGGGGACCCTGCAGGGGACTCCCTGTACAGGAGAGGCAGGGCTGGGGCAGGACTGCAAGGTAAAGCTCCATGGCAGCATTGGGAGGGGATGGGTAGCAGATGGGGAAACTTTTACTGTAGTCTCCTTCCTTCAGGGAATGGCTAAGAAGGGCAGCTCTCACAGCTCTGTGGAGGAAGTGCTTACTTTGCCTGCAGAAGGCAGAGGGCACAAAGTGGGTCACTCAGCTTTCAGAGAGGAGCAGAGGAATTGCTTTCCCACAGTGGGAAACATGATGATTGAGCAGGGTCTCAGATGATGTTGACCCTCCCTTAACAGCGGGACCCAGGGACTCAGTACCAGCAGGAGCATCTTACACCCAGCTCAGTCCAGGGAGACACTTGGTGAGGCCACAGTCAGTCACATCCTTTCCAGATCTGCCCAGGAGGAACTTTGCTTGGCAAAGCTTGCTTCTCTTGGAACACTTGGACATTCTAATTCCATGGGGACAAGAAAAATCATGAATCTGTTTACGTTCCTTTTGACTGCCAGAAATTGCTTAGAGCACAATCTGTGCCTCACTGTAACTATGTAAGACCCTATGACATCCATACCTGCTTTCTAAGACTACCTCACCTTGGGCTTTTCTTCCCTTTCTAGTTTGTATTTTATAGAGTCTTAACTTCTTGTTTGTTTTTCAGGTTATGGTAATGCATTCTTGCATGCTGCTCCAGTTCCTTGAGGCAAATAAACAGAGCAACAAACCAAACCACAAATGAACCAAGTACAACTTCCTCCAGGTGGGTGCTTGGTATGTGCTGAACCGTGGGCTGATTGGACACAAGGACCTGACCTAGGAGTTTCAGGACATATCAGCACAAGTCCATTCTGGAAGTCAGGGTCACTATCTTCCCTCCATGTCAGCACCTTTGCTGTGGTGCCATTTCTATGTAGTGTTGTTACAGAGACAAATATTTCCTGGTGTGTTTGAGTGCTGAGTGGCTTCAGTCGCATAAATCAGTGTCTTATCAGGGGTAACCCCAGCTCTTTCCTTACCTTTATTCCTTGTCCGAGGCTTTCCAGTGAATTAATATCCAGCCCCTCCTTGCAGGCCTGCAAGCAGGAAATCACCTTCTGGCTTTCCATTTTGCCAGGGCGGATGGTAAGACTGGCCAGGCTGCCGTGGAAGAATTGAGCAAATCGTGGTTTGGCAACTTCACCTCCTGAAAGAAAAAGCAGCACTATCACTTACCCTAAGGAAGAAATTATTAACTGAGGTGCCAACTGGCCATTGAGCCAAGGTCATACTGTGTGGCCCATAAATCTGAAGGAGAATGTGTGCATTTGGAGAAGCGCTGAGTCCTGTGGGCACTTTAGTCCACTGTCGCCCACATACAAGTGCTCAAACTGCTGTGCTGCGAACCCTTCCTGGGAGCTACACCTTCCTGTCTTCTCCATGATTTCCAAGTCAGGCCTCGTCAGAGGTCCGATTGCAGGCAGCTTCTCCGAGCAGTCTTCTTCACTGTATTTAATTTAAGTATTTAATTACTTACTGGGCTGTATTTAATTTAAGTAATTAGTATATACCATCCCTGTTGCTTCAAGGACTGATTCAGGGGTAGACTTGAAATTCACCTTTACTGTCCACCTTTGGGCAACCTACAGAAACAAAATTTGCCTGGATCTTGTGTGAATGTCCAGCAAGGAAGCAAACCAAGCAAGAAACAGGGATCTAGGCTGCCTTGCAGCTTCATCAGTTTTCTGGAAACACTCTAGATTTTGTATGCTGTTTCTCTAGGCCAGTGATGCAAATCTTTCAGGGTCTGAATGCCCAGACTGCAAACCAAAACACACTTATTTATCATAAAGTGCCAACATTGCAATTAAACCTCAATACTGAGGTTTTGGTTTAGGGAAAATAACTCATACATTTGGCTCACAGAGAGGGCCCTGCATGCCTGCTGTGGCCCAGGTGCCATAGGTTTGTCACTGCTCCCTAGGCAGTCTCAGCTCAGCAGTTCCCGTGGCTTCCCTGGCGCTTAGGCATCCCACATATCTTCCTTTGTCCCTGTTCCTTCTCTCAATGAGAAGGAACTGTCTCACTGTCTCCTCATGGGGAGAGTAAGTACATTTTAGTGTTTTCCAGGCCCTTTAAGTTCCCTCAGTGACCTGTTGTTCACTGAAACCTTTCCCGGTCTCCTGTGCACTGTGCCATGAATTTCCTCTCACTGCAACCCCTCTCTATTGTAAGCCCCACTATGTTCTCTCTTTGTCCTGAGTCACAGGATACTGATGGTGGATTTTAATGCAACCCTCTCCACTTGGTATTGTACATGAATGTTTTACATGCATATGTTTTATTGCTTCAACAGCCTAAAATTGAGATGTTCAAACTTGGCTATGCTTTTTAATCAACTGAGGATCTCTTAAAAGATTCTCAGATGCTCAGTGCTTGGTCCCACCTTTAGGGATTCTCACTTAATTGGGATAGGAAATTTTAAAAGCTTCTCCAGTGAACCAAATGCAACGCCAAGGTAAATAACCACTGAGCTTTTAGTTCTGTAAGAAAACTCCTCGTGTTTTCTCTCTCCTTGATGCCACCTGCAGGCTTACCTTTCACCTTGCTATAATTTATTAGTTTAAGTCTCTCTTGTTCTCTCTCCTGGATAGCAAGGATTACTCATGCATTATTCATTTTAATGAAGACAGTACTGAGCAAGTATTAGGGGCTGAGGTCTGCACCAGGCACTTTGCAAACATTGACTTGTTTATTCTTCCCAACAATACTTGGCCTCTTCTATTCTTGTAGCATCCTGCACTCTGCTTGGTACATCACAGACATTTTATACGTGACTGCTGAACTGAAGGGGATGGTATGTTGAATATGAGCAGATCAGAGGGCCTTGTGGCTATTTCACCAACATCAGTTTCCCTCTTTCTCTCTTGCTAAGGCATTCTAGAATGTTCAGGAGCAGACAGTCTCCATGGATGGGCTGTATTTAATTTAAGTAATTAGTATATACCATCCCTGTTGCTTCAAGGACTGATTCTGGGGTAGACTTGAAATTCAGTATCAAGAACAAATCAATCAACACTTGGCATTCACTAAGCCAGAATGATAGGCCCAGTGATGATAATGGGACCAAGTGTGGGCCAATGTAGTGAGAAATACTGACCAGCAAAACAACACAAAAACAACTTTCCTCTTTTTCCCCAGAAACTTTGCAACCAACTCTTGTTGTCTTTCCCTGAGGATCATTAAGATGGAAGGCCAAGGGCCACTATGGCCTTCTTGCCAATGGCTTGGGAACAACAAGAGCAGTGCAAGGAGGAAGGCAGAGCTGGATGAGTCAAGCAGGATTGAGCAGAACCAATTGGACACCCTCCCTGCCGTGCTTTGAGATATATTCAGCTGTGTGAGCCATGCGTCTATCTTCATGAGGAAGCTGTTTTCAGTCAAAATACTGTTGCTTGATACCCCAGATTCTTTGTTTTGGAAGTGAATGATGTCTTTTTCAAAGTGCTCAGTTCATGGGGAAATTTTAAATAGATTTAGCTTTGAGGAATGTCCTGAGATGGTTCATTGCAATAGGGAAGCCCATTGAAGGTCTTTTAATCTAGAAATTTAAAACATCTATGGATAAAGTACTCCTCCAAGCCCTTATCATGTCCCTGTGCTAGCAGATCTGCAGAAAGAGGGCATGAGCCTGGGTATGGACAGGTGCTCCTGCCACATGGCCTCTTTCTTATTTTGTCCTTATCCTGGAGTAGCAGATCCATCAACTACCATTTGTTAGACATGAAATAACATACCAAATACCATGTGAAGTACTAAATACACATCATTTCATTGGATCTTAATAAAACCCCTAGGAGATAAGTACTTATTCTACATTTACAGATGGGAAAATTTAAGAGGGGAAGTGAGTGGCATTACAAGAAGTTGCAAAGTGTATGTTCCTGTAATGTGCATACATCCATCCACACTCAGCGCCAAGTAGGTATCCTGGTGGTGCTGGCCAGCTGGCCTAGTCCAAAGCAAGGCTATGATCTAATCCTCCTCCATCTCTCACTCAGCAGTTCCATCCTCAAGGGCCAAGCTTTGTGACTCTTGTGGATGTGATGACATTTCTAATATATTATTTTGTCTTAGCAAAACATTTGCATGTTTGTATTTTGATTCAAAATGTGATGCCCTCTATTTATTAGTGACAAGGCTCCAGGAAATCAATTCAATTAGCATTTTGCAATAGGAGGCCAGCATAAAATATGAAATATATGTACACCCAGTGGTGGTTGTGATGCAGGAGTCTAAAACATAATTGATAACAGGGAAGTATCTCTTTCTATTTAATATCTAGGGTATCTGCATAGACCACATGGTTCCTACATTAACATTTGAAATAAGAACAACTATGAATCATTTTAAGAAAGCAAATAAAACCTCATTTCTCTCACAAAGAACTTTCTTTAATTGTTTGCAAACATAAATTTGGCTTCCTAAGGCTAAATACCCATTTTTAAAGCATTTTCTGTATGCCTAGTATTCTGTTAGATTCAGTTAATTATAAAATGTGGAACATGTTCTTTGGAACATTATACTGGATGAAGAGAGAATAAAGTAAAGACATTGGTGAAGTAAGATAAAAATATAAGAATAAATTTTTAGGATATTAAATACTCTAAGGCATTGCCTGATTAATTTTCAAGTAAGTGCTCCAGATAATATGCATAATAGGTTAGAGGGGGAACATAGCCACTGTTTGCTAGGTCTTGAAAATGTGGCAGGTTTCTTCATATGTTATTTTATTTATTCCTTAAGTGGTAGAGTAGCACCTTGGAGATCTTAGCCTTTGTTCTTTTTTCCCTGTATTTCTCTCATTTCACTTCAATTTAAACATATCTATAGTCTGACATAGGGAGGGGCACAGAATGTTTAAGCTGTGTTTTTCCAGTGTGGTTTCCAGAATCTTACACTTTAGCAGGGCAGGGAAGACCATCAAATGAATCCACACTGGGGGAGGAGTAGAGGAAAAGAATCTGGTTCCCCCTGATGAAGTGAGGATGAGGGTGGCAAGGAGTGGAGTGGATAAGACGTCAGAGCTGCAGAGTGAAGAAATTCCTGAAAATTCTTCCTGGGCATGGGTGTGTGCTGTTACACACTGGTTTGGTGTAGCTGGGCAGAAGGACCACAGATGGATTTACAGAGAGAGCATGAGGAGCGGCAGACATATTAGTGTACCCCAAAGAAGGCAAGGACATACCGAGACAGCTGTCAGTTTTGAGGGACAATTAATGACCAAGGGTCTAAAAAAAGGTAGGCACCATTTCAGTGGGACAACTGTGTGTGAACACACTTTGAGCTTTGCAATCCTAGCACTACACAATGCCCCCTGCAGGCAGCCAGCACTATAGATAAAGGGGAAAATTCCAAATCTATGAAGGTTAAATCTTCCCCAATTAGATGGAATGAGGGTTTAAAGTAAAACAAAAATGGGAGTGGGGAAAATCTTTTTCTCTTTGTGAACTCAGATTCTCATTGGCCATATTTGGAACTCTTTTTATAGATTAAAAGATGTTAAGTTAGATAACATCCACAAGCCAGAAATGAGTGAAACCAACATTCAAACTTGGATCTTGCCTGTTCCCAAGCCTTTCTCCTGCACATCACATAGTGAGATGAGGGTCTGGGGAAGGATGAGTTTTCAAACAGGAACAGATTGGGGTTGACATGATGCTGGGGACAATCCTGACCACACTGGGCTCTGTGGGCTCCAGATGGTCTTAGAAGTGACTCCCAATGATTCAAATCAACTTTTCTGGAAAACATAGTTATCTCCAAAAACAACAGTACAGTTGGCCCTCTCTATCCACAGATTTCATGCTCACAGATTCAACAAGCTGGAGATTGAAAAGATTTGAAAATATTGCTTTCTTTTCATCAACCTTCTTCTTTTCCATTGTCATTCTCTAACCTGTACAATATAAAAGCTATCCATAGACTTTATGTTGTATTAGGTACAACAAGTAGTACAGAGATAATCTGAAGTATATGGAGGATGTGTATAGGTTTTATTCATATATTGTAATAAATTACACAAGAAATTTGAACTTCTCTGAAGTTTGGAACCTTCAGAGGATTTGAACAAGTGCCTTGCAAATAGTGAGGGGCGAGTATATTTTGCAAACATGATTTAATGTACCCTGTTAAACCTGAGCCAGT